ACTTTAAATTTATTTTACTGTGAAGAAACATTGTATTTGTATACTTACACTATATTATAATTAAATAATTATATAATTATTTAATATATTCATTTTAATGAATATATTTTTTTTTAATTTAGTACATTATTATGTATTTTTTATTATTAAGGATTTATTATTTAGAGATTATTTTGGTTCTTAGTTACTGAAAGTTTTCAATAGATGGTTCTGTATCACAATTCAATTATTTCAGTGTATATAGAACRTAACCTTACTTTTTCTATTTTTTTTTTTATGTAATATTACTGTATTGTATTTCAATATTAATTGTTAATATTATTTTGTGTGTTGTTATAATTTATTAAATAATTACAAATTATAATAAATCAACATCTTATAACAAACCCACAGCACAACGTGGCTCGAACATCCTAGTAATATCAGAAATATATAAATGTTTTATTTATATAAAATAATAAATATTAAAACGTGCATCCTAGTAATATTATAAATATATAAATCTTTTATTTACGTAAAATATAAATTTGTAAAATAAATAAAAAAATAAATTCTTTAATTAAAGTAAGAATATCGTCACGTTGATGTCACGAAAACAAAAAAACAAAAACAAAAAGTTAGGGTAGGGTGATAGAAAGGACGAAAAATAAAAGGGATTAGGAACGAAGAGGAAAAAGACAGAGAGAAAAATAAAAAAAAAAAAAAAAGTAGAAGAGTAGAAGAGTAGAAGAAGAGAAGTTAGTTGATGGTGGTAGCTGAAAAGGTGCACGCTCAATTAAGGGGAGCAGACAGCGCGGAACGAACATTGCTCCAAGAAACGCGTCTTTCTTGTCTTCTTACCATCTTCTTCCTTTTTTTCTTTTTTTTTTCTTTTTCTCATTTTTAAAAGTTTCTTCCACAAAGTCCATTTTACCTTCTTCCTCTTCTAAATCTTTCGTCTTTCCCCTTTTTCTCAACTTTGTGTCCTGCTTTTGGTAAAAACTAAACAATAAATAGGCACTATGCAACATTGTTATTTTACAGATTGGGAAACTGTTTATCAGAAATCAACGAACCTATCCATCATTATTGTTTTTTTTTTTTTTTTGCAAATAACCAATCAGTTGTTTTTATTACGCTTGGTTGAATTATCGTTCAAATACTTTCAAAGTGTTTCGTAATAATTCATTTTATTACGAGATCGTCAGAGAAACAATTGGCTTATTATTTACTTGTATTCCATCTTTTATGTAATTGTAATACAATCATTGATAGTAATCTATTAACTATCCTAGGGTTAATTGATTTTAATTTTTTAAATTGGTATTTCAATAAATTTAGGTCAGTAAAATTTTATTATGGTGTATTACATATTATTTTATTTCTTTTTAAACTCAAGATGAAGATGAAACAATATTGAAAGTATATTTGAATATTGTTTTGTTTAATTAATTTAGGTACCTAGGATTAATTGATTTTAATTTTTTACATTGTTCTTTCAATAAATTTAGGCTACTAAAATTTTATTATGGTGTATTACATATAATTTTATTTTTTTATTTTTAAAGTTGAAAAGAAGAATAAACAATATTGAAAATATTTAATATTGTTTTGCTTAGTTACTTTAGATAACGAGGGTTAATTGATTTAATTGATTTTAATTTTTTAAATTGTTATTTCAATAAATTTAGGTTACTAACATTTTATTATGATGTATTACATATTATTTTATTTGTTTATTTTTAAATTTGAAAATAAGAATAAACAATATTAAAAATATTTAATATTGTTTTGATATATTACACAAATACGATTAAAATTATTTTTGTACACTCATTGAAACAAAATTCATTACAATTGAAATTGCATTCAAAAATTGTGAAATGTCTTATAACATTTCATTGTCATTTATAAATTAATAATATTTTATATAATTTTATTGAATCAAAAGAACAATTTATTAAATAAGATTCATTTTTTAATATTAAAATGTCTTTACATACACTTTACATACATTTGTATCTCGTTATTATTACATTATCGAAGTATAATAATCGTGAGAATCACAATCACTAGATTCGAGATCGTTTTTCATTACATTATCTACAATAAGATAACAGAAAATAAAAAATACTGGGACTTGAATACCAAATGCATGTTGCAAGTAAAACGATATGTTTCTTACGCGGAAGTCTATTTTGCTTGAGGGGGAAGTCTGAACGATGAACGTAATCGTGCACAGTAAAGGGTCAAGAAAAGGTTAAGACCGGTCTTCTCCCTTAAAAATTTTTCCGAATACTTCGTAAAACGAGATATACCACCATCTTCTTCTTAAACCTACGAATGAAACTTTCCTTTTTTATTTTTTTTCATTTCTTTAATTTTTTTTTTCTTAAATACTTTAAATAAGTCAGACAGAAGAAAAAAAAAAATAAAGAAGAATAAGAAATGATAAAATTAATCTTGTATCGTAAACAACGAAGGTGTTTATTATAAGAAAAACAAATTGAAGCAAAGGTAATTATTTTATGGTATTAAATTTGTGTTTTATTTTAATGTCGGCTTTTAGTTAAAGAATTTTTCTTTCAAAACTGGTCCTTTTCACGAGAATTCTGTAAATTTTGTTTATCGTCGACCGTTACCAAGGGAAAACAAGGTAATGTGTTACTTCGAATCGCATTTCTCGTCATGCAGGACAATTTGTTATGAACATTCAACCCTTTTGCAAGTTTATTTCCTTATTTTATATATTTTGTTACTATTTATCATTTTGTTTTTACGTACGTAAATAAACGTTTGTATTTCTAATCAAATTTTTTGATTATAATTTTTTGATTTTAATTAAATGATCGAAAACTGCAGTTTAAAAGTATTTTTTTTAAACTTACTTAGTGTTCTAGAAATGTATTATTTCATAGTGATGATTAAATCTTTGTTAATTTTGTTTCAATTATGTAATTGTTAAGGTTCAACGTTTATTCAATCAGATGAAATCATCTGATGTATTATCTAACTCTTACGAAAGCTTGTATTAACTTTAGGATAATAAACTTTTTATTGTGATTAACTTGTTCATACGAACAATGATTCATATTAAATCTTTCTTTACTTTTTTTCTTTTATTTTTTTTTCGATGAATAATAAATTAGACGAGGTCGTGTCAAATGTGTCATCGAAGACTATCATTCAGAAAATTTTTATTTCATCACAAAATGATATGAATAAGACATGAAGATCATTCGTAAGGTGAACTTGAATCTTAAAATCAAATGAATAAAATGTACATTTAATAATTTATTTAAACTTTATCAAATTGGTATAAAATATTCACAGAAATTGAAATATATATTTAATAATATATATTTATATATATTATATTAATTATGTAAAATACAATTTAAAATATAATTTATATAATATTAAATTAAAAAGGTATTTATATTTATATTAAATTAAATATAATAATATATTTAATAATTAATAATATATTTTATAATATACTATATAAATTAAATTAAATGAAATTAAATATAATAATATAATATTAAATTAAATATAATAATATATAATTAAATATATTTATATTTATATTTATATTAAATTAAATAAATAATAATATATAATTAAATATATTAAANTAAATATATTATATTTAATAATATACATTTAATAATATATTTAAATTCTATCCCAATTAGAATAAAATATAGATAGAAATTAGAATATATATTTAATAATTAATAATATATTTAATAATATATTATATATATATATATATATATATATTAAATATATAAAGTACAATTTAAAATATAATTTATATAATATTAAATTAAACGTATTTATATTTATATTTATATTAAATTAAATATATTATATTTAATAATATACATTTAATAATTTATTCTATCCGAATTATTATAGAATAAAATATGGATAGAAATAAGAATATACATTTAATAATTAATAATATATTTAATAATATAATATATTATTAATTATATATTATATTTAATAATATTCTTCGTATGTGATTTGTGTGTATATAAAAGTTCATTGACTGGATACATTACAGAGAAAATAAAAATAAAAGATAAAATGTTTTCACTTCACAAAAATAAAAGGAGAAACAACAAACATAAGTCAGTCACACCTTTTGGATAGTTTCCAAGTACTTTGTAAGCGTTTAAAGATCATAGTGATGACGTTTAAAAACCTGAATGAAAGTGCAAGTCTGTGTAGTAAAACATTCAAACACACATATACATATATACACACCACCAACTGTATAGTTCATCACATTGAAATACTTTTTCCATTTACATTAAAATACAAAACAAAAATAGAAAAGTTTGTTGACAACAAAAATTCACAAAATCTCATCCCTTAATTTAATTGAAAATATCCAAACCTTCACTGAACGTGCATTATGGTCTCAGAGTTTACATGAATGACTTGTATCGGACGCATATATGTGCTCATAAGATTCTAAAGTTTTTGTTCGACCCATAAGAGTTGAAACAAAATTTCTAAACCTTCACTGAACGTGCATTTGAACTCCACAGTTTATATCAATGGCTTGTATCATCCGCATATATGCGCTCATGACAATTCCAAAACCACCGAACGTTACATTTGAGTTCATTCTGGTCCATCAAAGCAATTTCATCATTGGTTATTTCAAACTAATGGTTTGTATCAGACGCATATATGCGTTTATGGAATTCTAAGGGTTTTGTTGGACCCATAGTAGTTAAAAAAAAGGAAGAAGAAGAAGAAGTACGCTTGCGTGGGTGGTGTGTACTATACTCCAGTAGGGTTTGTTCACATCCCTATCTTCTCATTCTCTTTTTCTCTCTTTCGTTATGTCAGTTTCGTCGGCGTCGTCGCAAACGAAGAACCCAACGACGTTTCCATATCGGCAGACAGTACGTTTCGTGACGTTGACCATCGTACGTTCACTTCCAGACCACGTGTTTCCGTTCTTATTTCGATTTATCAAAAGTTCAAATTGTTCACATTATTTTAGTGATGATGTATTACAATTTGTACAAATTTTTATTTTAATGTGTGTTCGTTGTTTTTTGTTTTTTTTGGGTGTTACAAATTTGTTCACGTGAATGTTTACGATTAATAGACGCAACATCGATAAAAAGTAAATTCTTTTTTTATATTAATCTTATAAATTGATTGATTGATTGATTGATTTTAATGAAATATAAAATAAAATAAATAAATATTATTGAGGAAGAGTGTATTTTTATTAGGTTTTATATTTATTTATTTTATTAATTTGATTTGAATATTATTGATTTGTTTCGATACTTTGTAATTGCAATTTGAAAGTTGAGTATGTGAAATTTTAATAATACGATTGATATTTATAAATATTACATATTTATAATTACATTAATAATATATAATAATGATATAATATAAATAATATTATAATTAAATAAATATTAAATATATTAAATATTTATATTAATATGTAATTGTAATATAAAATAAATTATATAATAATATAATTAAATAAATATAAAATAAATAAATAATTAAAATAAATAATACTATAATTAAATAAATATAAAATAAATATTAAATATATATAAATAATTATTGGTTCAAATTTGGTTTCTTTTTATTATTTTATAACTCGTAGTAACAAAATTTTTGTATAATAATTAATATGCATAGTTAAATATATTTTTTATTGAATTACATTTAATAATAATATATTTAATAAACCATTAATTATAATAATAAAATTTAATATCTAATAAATAATTTTTGAAAACAACGACAAACTCAGATTGAAACTTGAATATTTTGTAACTCAAACTACGCCTAACGCGTTTATTTGTTTCGCATGATTCATTAAATTCAACTTCGTTTTGCTTAAAAGGCTAAACGATTACCATTCCATATGGACAACAACCTTGCCTGTTCCGCGAAGTATTTTTTTTTCTTTCTCTTTCTCTTTCTCTTATCGCTTAAAATTGATATCACTGAAAAGTAAATAATATATTAATTCTTATCTATCGTTTATTTCTAAATTCAATATTATAAATTCACATTCCAAAAGTATTAATGGTTCCTCGATATTTATTTCTTTTTTTATACTTAACGAATGTCAAGTATAATAATATATCTCAATGTTTTTTTTTTCTAATCTTCGTACACATAAAAATACTTTAAGTAATATTTAAAATATTTTGTATTTTTATTCTTCACAAAATCTTGTCGATTAGATGAAATATTTTGAAATACATTGAATCGATTAGTTTAGTTAAATGTTTCTCAATGTTAGGATTGGTTGAAAGTATAATTCATGATTAGAATATTTTAAGTTATTTTGAACATTAGGAAAAGGTAGAATTTAGAAATGGTCGCGTCAAGGTAAATGGAATACGAAAGATCGTGCAAAGGAAAGGGGGAAAGAAAAAAAAAACAAATGGAAGAAAAATGGTGGTAGGGAAAACACAGACGTGCTTAATCAGTCTTTAATCTACTCCTCTTGGTTTCCTTTTAGGTTTTTTTTTTTTCTTTTTTTTTTTAATTCTTTTTCTTTTTCTTTCCTAGTGACATTACGTTATGAAGAAAGTAATAAGCACAGAGAGAAAAAGATACTAAAAACTAAATTGTAATAACCACGACGTACACTCGAATTGCATATTAAAATGTTAATCTTAGTTTCTGTTTTTTATTTTTTTTTTTATTTTCATTTTGCTCTTTTTATTTAGAGTCAAACTTTAACTTACATTGTTTAAAAAAAGAAAAATAGTAAAATGTTTTATGAAAAAACGAATCATCTGTTTTCATATGTTCATTTCTATTTCTTTCTATTTTAAGTCTAACTTTAACTTACATTGTTTGGAAACGAAAAGGTAGAATGTTTTATGAAAAAATGAATTAAATATTTGAAGAATATTAATAAACAAAAATTCTGTAAAATTATTAAAGTACTTAAAGGTGAAATAAATAACTAGGGGAAATTTAATAAATGAGATAATGAAATAATCTGAATTGCTTAGTGGGGGAGTAACTAGAAAGGGTCACTTGTTTCAGAAGATTTATTAAAGAGGGTCTTTAAACTATCCCTTTATTATAATTTTCTATATTTAATTTAACAATTGTTATTTCATCTTTGTTGATTTTTATTTTTTTGAAAAATATAAATATATATTATTAGATATTATTATAATATTATAATAATATATTTATAATATAATATATAATAATAATACATATATAACGAAAAAATAAATTACATATATGCAATATATACATTATAATGATTATATATTTATTATTATTATTGTAAATATTTAATATTTAATAAATGAAATTCTTTTAATTTAAAATACAATATTTATTTATTCTATAGATATATGTAATGCATGTATGTATTATATATGCAACTATTTATTATTATTTATTCGAAAGTATATGATTGTCACAAATGTTTCTCGTTTTCTCATTGAAAAATTTCTTCTTACATAGAAATATGCATTGCTAAGCAAGTTTTTTTTTTTTTCTTTTCTTTTCTTCTTTTCTTCTTCTTTTTCTAAAACTGGTAAAACGATTTCGATCTCGTCGATTTCTCATAGGTAGTAGAGCTGTGTCTATTGGGAATTTGTGTCGGGGAAATTCTATGGGAAACGGGTAAAAGTTAAAGAAGAAAAAGAATAATATGATGAAAAGAAAAGATAGGAATAGAAAAGACAAGATGAAGAAAACAAAAACAAAGAAAAAGAAAAAAATAAAGAAGTCTTCAATGGTAGCCTATCTTCTTATGTAAACTAGTCGATGTATAGAAAAGTCTTGGAGTCAAAGGTAAACCAACTTTGAATACACCTCTATTACCGTTCAGGTAAATGGCTCCTTTTTTAGACGAATTCGTTGCGGTATAAAAGCACTACACCAGTAATGTTGGTTCTTTAAAAAAAAAAAAAAAAAAAAGAAAAAAAAGAAGAAATTGGAAAAGCTCAAACTCTTAGCACTCCAGCAACGTGTTCAAATACGTTTCCTTCTTTCACCTCATATTTTTGGGATCAATGATCTTTTTCTTTGACATTTATTTGTTTTTTTATTACACAAGATTTTCTTACGGTTTGTTCTCTCACATTTATTTAATAATTAATATTCAACGTTGGTATTATTATATTTATAAGCGTGTAATAAGTGAAAGATTGTAATTACCAACTGTATTAGTAAAAGTAAAGTATAATGTGTTATTAAAAAAGTGTGTATTAAGTTAATTATAGATTGCATTGTATTTTTTAATAATTTGGAGGAAGAGTTATATGATTTTTTTAAATGTAATTTTAATATATTTCTTTATTTACAATTTTATTTTAAATATAATTGATATTTTAATATTTTTCAAATATTTTAAATATTTTTTCTTAGTATTATATTATTTTTTTTAATATTTCAAATAATTTTTCTTAGTATTCTATATATTTTTTAATATTTTTAATATTTTTTCTTAGTATTGTACTATTCTTTTAATATTCTAAATATTTTTTCTTAGTATTGTACTATTTTTTTAATATTTTAAATATTTTTCTTAGTATTGTATTATTTTTTAAATATTTCAAATAATTTTTCTTAGTATTGTACTATTTTTTTAATATTTCAAATAATTTTTCTTAGTATTGTACTATTTTTTTAAATATTTTAAATATTTTTTCTTAGTATTGTATTATTTTTTAAATATTTTTAAATTAAATTTAAAATATTTCTCCAAACGTATTATTAACTTAAAAACTAATTAGCTAATTAAATTGTACAATGATTAAATATATTGACTCTAATAGAAAAAAAAAATGATAATTAATCATAACAATAACAAAATAATTTATTATTTTGAATAATTTATTATAAAAAAAAAGAAAAACAAACGTTGATTATGATAACGGTACGAGATTAAATAAATTCGCAAAAATTATAAACGATGAATGATTTTTCATGCGTGCCAGAATTGAAAAGTGTTGGTCGCTGATAATATTTCCTTTTTCCTACCCCCCCTCTTCCTCTTCCCTCACCCCATTGCTGTTAATTAATGGCTTATTAAAGTCTAGCGGTTTCGTTCATTGCAAAAGACTAACGACCCACGAGAATTGGCCCGTTATAAATTTTTTTTTTTTTTTCATAAACATGACTTTTTAAATTTAATTTGTTTATTTTTTTTCCTTTTTTTCCCTCT